GTAGACGGCGAGGGTGACGAAGGTGAAGGTGCTGGCAGCCATAGCCGAGGTGAGGAGTTGACCGGGCGTTGACCAGAGGGTTGACCAACAGTTGACCAGAGGGTTGACTAGGCGTTGACCAAGGTGGTTGACCAAGCGTTGACTGGGGTTTGTCCGCATCGACTCAGCGTTGACCAAGGCATTGACCGGAGCTGCTGACCAAGATTTTGACCAAGCTGGAGTTGGTGATATCTCGTTGACCCTTCAGCCTACCCCCTTACCCTGTGGATGTGCACTTACCCCGCGGTACTTGTTGAGTCTGTCTGTCTCTCCTTTCTGCATTGAGTCTCTTCTGTCCTAGGTGCTAGGACTTTGTGGATGAAGGATAGGGCCTTGCTGCCAAACCTGCACGGGCTTAGTAGGACCAAAGCTTTACTCTGGCATCTGGAGACCTGGGCATGAGCGGCGAGCGCTCGTTAAACAACTCGTCTAGCCCAATGACCGGTACTGACCGGCAGGTCTACTGAGTTCAGTGTGAAGGGTCCGAACTCCGGGCTGTAGGCTGAAACGAGGACCGTCTTTAAGTGTTGAGGCCTGGTTGAACCACTCCCCTACCGGACCTACTACAACTGATGATCTGTGTCTGACGACTCGACTGTCCCGAGGGATACGAACCCCTCCAAGGACCGGTACCGACCGGCGGGCTGCTCGGTGTGGCACAGTAGGCTGGAACGGCTGAGTTGTGGGCTGAAATCGCCAGAGGAACCAAGCTGATCACGTCGTCCTGTCTGCGACGTTAAAGAATTCTTGCGGAGTTTGGGGGATCTCCTTAAATGCCTCCTGATCAGCTTTGGGTTCAGTAGTGACAGCCTTAGAGTAGTTGTGAGTAGCGGATCTTAGAGAGTTAGTCAGTAGGTCAGTGTGTCGGGGTACGTCTAAGTGGTGAGGAGTGGGACGTTGTCGTGCACCTGACACCACAATGGACGACTATCCGATGTATGGATTGCTGGTTGGGTTCTCTCTTTGGGGGACCCTCTGGCGCCTCCTCTTTCCTCTGGGTTTCTGGCCCACTTTCACGTGTAGAGTAGGGCCCACTCGTGGTGGTACTTCCACCAGCCCCTACACGAAGGAGGAGGAGGAGAAGATGGCCGCCATTCTGCAGGAGAGGAAGGAGAAGAAGGAGGCCAAGAAGAAAGCCTTGAAGGAGGAGCAGGCGGCCAAATTGAAGAAGATAGAAGAAGAGATGGCCAGGGAGAAGGAGAGGCTACAGAAAGAAGAAGAAGAGAAATTGAAAGAGGTGGAAGAGGAGGAAGAAGATGAAACGCCACTGCAAAGGAAGAAGGGTCAGCACGGTGGCAGCAGGGATGAGGAGATGGAGAAGCGAATCTCAGAGTGGGTCGCCAACTTGTCCCTGGGTGAAGAGGAAAAGGTTGCTATGTACATCCCCAAGGATGAGCAAGAAGCCGCCATGAAAAAATGGGAAGCAGAGGAAGATGTTCTCACGCGACGGGCGATGGAGGATGAACAGAGGATGGCGTGGAAGCTCGCGATGATGAGGGAGAAGAAGAGAAGAGTGGAGGCGGCGAATGCAGCGATACAGGAATTGGAGGAGGTGCAGAAATTGAGGTTACAATTGACACCCCAGATAGATCTCGAGCGGAAGGTGGAGATCATCGCCCAGAGCGTCGAACGTTTAGCCAAGGTGCAAGAAAAGCACTATGAATTTAGTCGCAGCCAGGAGATATCTGTGCGTTCGATGCGAACGGGATTACGGGACTTTGCTCGCGAGTTAGTAGGCGCTGTGGGGTCCGAGGTGAGTCACCGCCTCGAGAAGACTGAGCGTTTTTGTGTCGGCGCCATTGAGGGCGTCAAGGTGGCAGCTCCCAAGGAGGAGGAGACTCGTCCTCGCAGGGAGCCAGTCAAAGTCAAATTCCCTGATTCCTACAGTGGAAAAAGGGACGAGAACTTTGACAATTGGGAGGCCAATGTCAGGACCTATGTGCATCTGCAACAGGTCTCCCCGGATCAGCAGGTCCTAATTGCGATCCACGCGCTKARRGATGAGGCCGCKAGTTTTGCAAGGTCCCTTGTTCGTGYTGCCAACTGCAGTGACGATCCGGTAGCATACTCCACATTCACCCCTCTCGTTGAGTTCCTGAAATTGCTACGCGAGCGATTTGCTGATGTCGCTCGTAGTGTTAAAGCGTCAGATAGGCTGCAGACGATCCACGCCCGCAAGTGGAAGAGTGCCAGGGCACTCAAGAGTACAATGGATGAGTTAGTGGCTGTCCCTGACCATGGGGTTACGGACACCCAGTTGGTCGGCCTCTTCTACCGGGCCATACCGGAAGCCCTTCGAGGGCATTTCTTCGCAAAGAGTGAAGACCCTGCCACTACGTATGATTCTCTTAGTCGTGAAGTGGTGGCTTTTGAAGCCAAGTCTGCGTCTGTGTCCACCTTCTGGCACAAAGACTTGGATAAGGGAAAGCAATGGAAGGGCCGCACTATCTCAGGGCAAGTAAAGACCAAGGATGGTCTTGTCCTAACCTTAGATGAAGGTAGTGTGGACGAGATCCCCTACGATCAGATTGAGTGGGGGTTGGAGGAAGAGGACAGCGGTGCGAGCCAGGGGAGGACTTACGCTACTGTCGAGGCTGGAGGGAGGCCGCAAGGAGAACGAGGTCAGGGCCAAGGGGGCCGGGCCTCAGGGAGCCGGTTCCAGGGTGATCAGGGGGTTGGCGGCAAAGGAGGAAACCGCCAAGCGGGAGGCAGGGGTCAAGGTCCCCCGCAAAACCGTCCTAGGAACAGGTCTCCCTATAGGGTAGGAGGATGGCACTCGGGGCTACCGCAGGGTAGGCCTTGGGAAACTTTGGGTATGGACCAGACTCTATGGCAACAACGATTGGACCGGGGCCAGTGCATTTTTTGCGGTGACCCGGGCCACATCATCAAATACTGTCCTAAGTATCGAGAGACCCGAACGGCTGCCCAAGGGCCAAAAGGCAGCCGCCGGTAGGGGTAGCAACTGGCCCTACCACTAGGCCATGTGGGGAACATAGCGCTAGCCGGCAGGAGACTCCCACACCACATGTGCCTATGGCAGAGGTTGCTGGCCGGTGTCTAGATAGTTGTCCCGAAACTGCTTGTGTTAGAGTTTCGCTAGACACCTCCCTCACAGGCGTGGCCGAAGAGTTGAAGGAGAGGATGCCCGCCTGGGCCAAGATGAAGAATGAGAATAAGGGGCAGCTTATATTACTAGATACAAAGATTTTTAGAAGTAGAGTAGGGGCCCTAGTAGACTCAGGGGCCACCCGCAGCTATATTAGTAAGAAAGCGCTGCAAAAGTTGAAGTTGGGACTTAAAGTCCGGAAACTGACAGACCCCATAGTTAGTATCCTCGCACAACCGTACTATGATCGTAGAGGATTACGTAGAGGGAGTCCAGGCGTATTTCCGCCTAGCGAAGGATGGGAAAGTGGAGAAGGTCCTCCACTCCCTGACTCTCCTCGTAGAAGACAGCCTCCCATTCGACATTGTCCTAGGGATGGATTGGGGAGAGGCAGTCGGGGCCACGCTCCATTTGAAGGAGCACGAATGTAGGCTCCCTAGTTCTTCAGGCGAGGCTAAGATTGCCCGCTTGTTCCATGTGTCAGGAGTAGAGAATTCCTTGGCGCATTGTTGCCTTAGTGCCCCCGCGTTCGCCAGGTTGGTGAAAAAGGAGAAACTGGAGGAACAGGTTTTTGTTGCCTATGTTAGGCCAGTGACGGAGCCTACAGAGGAGAAGTCGATGGACCCTGTGATTGCCAAGCTCTTGGAAGAGTTCAAGGATCTAACTGAGCCGCCGATAGGAGTGGTACCGTGGCCCATCCAGCACCGCATTGAGATAGAGTCTGGCAGTAGAACTCCTAAGGGCGCGGTGTACAGGATGTCCCCACGGGAGTTAGAGGAGCTCCGCAAGCAATTAGACGAGCTCCTCGAGAAGGGTTGGATTAGGCCCAGTTCGTCTCCCTTCGGAGCGCCTGTTCTCTTTGTTCCTAAGAAAGAGGGAGAGTTGAGGATGTGCATAGACTATAGGGGTCTGAATGCTATTACAGTAAAGAATGCTGAGCCACTGCCTAGGATAGACGATCTCTTAGATCGAGTGCAGGGGGCGAAGTATTTTTCTAAGATAGATTTGAAGTCCGGATATCATCAGATAGAGGTGCATCCTGATGATCAGTATAAGACAGCCTTCCGGACTAGATACGGGCACTACGAGTTCATAGTGATGCCCTTCGGACTAACCAATGCGCCAGCTACGTTCCAGCGTTGTATGAACGATTTGTTTAGGCCGTGGTTAGACAAATTTGTCGTAGTTTACCTAGATGACATTCTAGTGTTTAGCAGGACCCTTGAAGAGCATCAGGGTCATCTCAAGCAGGTCTTGGAGAAGTTGAGGGAAGCTAACTTCAAGATCAATGCAAAGAAGTGCGATTGGGCGAAGACCCAAGTTTTGTATTTAGGCCACGTCTTAGACGGAGACGGCGTTAAGCCAGAGGATAGCAAGATCGCAGCGATTAGAGATTGGCCCACGCCACGTACGCTAACAGAGTTGCACTCGTTCCTGGGCTTGGCGAATTACTATAGGACGTTCGTGAGGAACTTCTCCGCCATCGCTGCGCCCCTTCGCAGATTGTTGAGAAAAGAGACCATCTCGAAGTGGGATAAGGACTGCACGTCTGCCAGGAAGAAGTTAAAGCAGGCGTTGATAGAGTATCCAGTCCTTAAGGTCGCCGACCCGTCCTTGCCCTTTGTCGTCACGACCGATGCGAGTCAATACGGCATAGGTGCAGTGTTACATCAAGACGATGGCAATGGGTATAGACCCGTAGAGTTCATGTCCGCCAGAATGCCTTCAGAGAAGGTCGCGACATCGACCTATGAGAGGGAACTCTACGCTCTCAGGCAAGCCTTAGACCACTGGAAGCACTACTTGCTTGGGAGGCACTTCAAAGTCTATTCTGACCATGAAACGTTACGATGGTTAAAGATGCAGGCCAAGATGACACCTAAGCTTACTAGGTGGGCCGCCGAGATAGATCAGTACGACTTCGAGCTCAAGCCTGTCAAAGGGAAGTACAATGTAGTCGCGGATGCTCTGAGTAGGAGGGCAGATTACTTTGGGGCGATAGTGCATTATCTCGATATAGGGAAGGACCTACAGCAGAAGCTTAGAGAGGCCTACGCGCAGGACCCTATCTTTAGCGACGTCCTTAAGAAGGTCAAAGAGCCCGCAGAGACTGAGCCGAACTACCGCACTACTGAAGGGTTGCTATTTGAGAAGACTAATGTATTTGACCGGTTGTGCATTCCCAATAGCGAAGAGATCCGTAGTCTGATCTTGGGAGAATGCCACGACACAGAGGGTCATTTTGGTTGGCAGAAGACTTTAGCCAACCTAATGCGCGCATATACCTGGCCAGGGATGAAGAATGACTGCGTAGAGTATGTTCGCAATTGTAAAGTCTGCCAGCTTAACAAGACTTCTACGCGTGCTCCGTTAGGTCTTCTCAGACCCTTACCCATTCCGGATCAGCCGGGAGACTCGGTGTCCATAGACTTCATCGACACCCACGTCAAAAGCAGGCATGGCAAGAGCCAAGTCATGGTCATAGTTGACCGCTTTAGCAAGTACGCAGTTTTTGTTCCTTTGCCTTCAGAGGCACGTACCGATTTAGTCACACAGAGATTCTTTGACTGTTGGGTTAGTGAGAACGGAATCCCGCTGTCAATAGTTAGCGATAGAGATAGTCGCTTCACCAGCCAGAACTGGCAAGAACTCATGGGAGTGTATGGATCTAAGTTGTTGATGTCGTCCGACCGTCATCCAGAGACTAACGGCCAGACAGAGCAAATGAACAAAATCCTACAGCAAGTTCTGCGCATGTATATTAGGCCAGATCAGGTTAACTGGGATGAGATGTTGCCCAAAGTAGCTAGTGCGTACAATAACATCGTGCATCTGTCTACATGTCGCACTCCCGACGAACTGCACAAGTCCTTTAGACCGCGCAGACCGTTTGAGGGACTCAACCGGGATCAGATTCACAGATTGCCGCCCGGGACCAGGGAGTTTGCTGTACAGCACGAGAAAGAACTAGCTACTGTTGTAGAGAACCTCAGAAAAGCCCAGCATAGGATGATAGAGCAAGCGAATAAACATCATCGCCCTTCACAATTTCAAGTAGGCGACTTAGTCTGGGTTAGTTCTAAAGAGTTTGCGCCTGAGGAGAACATCTCGCAGAAGTTACTGCCCACATATAGAGGACCGTGGCCTGTTCTGGAAGTCAAGGGCGGCGAAGATGGACCGTCCTATACGATAGAACTCCCAGCACACCTCCACACGTACCCAGTTTTCCACGCATCGAAGTTGCTACCTTGTCAAATAAGTGATCAGTTTCCATCGCGTAGATCGATGATCCCACCGGATATGGATGGAAGGTATGACATCGATGGCATAGTGGCTGAAGACGTATTCAGAACTGGAGGTAGGGGTCGTCCACAGAAACAGTACAAGGTTCATTTTAGCTATCAAGAACCAAAAGACGACCGCTGGTTTACAAGATCTGAACTTCTAGAAACAGCTCCCGATATAGTCCGAGCCTACGAGAGACAGCAGAGGGGTAAAGGTCCTGCCTTGGACTGAAATTTTCTCGGAGGACCTCGAATTTAGGCCGGCGTAAGTGAAACGGTATTCACCAGTTCGCAGTAGCGAATGCAGATCCCAGGGCTCGATCCCTAGTTCCCCGTCTTACCTGTGTATAGTATCAGTGTCAACCCGTAGACTTGAACCTGCGACCTGTAGGACCGCCAGTGGAAGGCAGGTTTTCGTAGGTCACAGCTTAGAAGGTAATCGAACTGTAGACTTGTAGGGTAGGAGTCTAGACAGTTCCGAAGTCGTAGCTGTAGGATGTCTGAAGGGTCAAGGTCGTAGCTGCTACTTACCTGAAAGGGCAAAGTCGTAGCTGCTACAGTACCGAAAGGCCAAGTAGAGGTTTCTAGAACTGGCCTTTCGGAGTCAGCCCCTGTTTAGGCCGAGGCAAGTGGGCAAGTGGTGTAGGTCCACTACGCAGAGTCAGCAGTCCCAGGTAGCCCAGTCCGGTCCAGTCAAGCACGTACCGTCTGGGACTGTGCACATCGTGGGCCAAGGGATACAGGGCAGACCAACACCGCACAGAAGTATAAATCAAGAGGCTGCGTCCAGCCATTCATTCATTCCTGTGGATGCCATGCGGAAGCGCTGCCTCAGCAGCTTGTGCGAGGGAGTCTGCAGTGTGCCCGTAGACGAAGTGGGCAGAGGAGCGTAGTGTAGCGATAGGGTAGTGCCAGCTAGCGCTGCCATAGCTGTAGCATAGAGTACGTGTGCGTTGTGTATGGATACGGAGTGTTGCGTGTGGGACATCCAGGGTGATCCAGAGTGCGAACAGTGGGTTGTGTGGGCGCACAGTCGCCATAGCCGGTTGGAAGAGAACTCTTATCTGGTCACGATATCTTTGAGTACTGTGTGGTCGCATGTCGCCAGTTGCTGTATCGCTGTTTGCATGCATGACGAAGTGTGAATAAGTCGAGTCTGATTGCAGGCATGATGAGGGTGTGTTATGTTTGGGGTGGAAGACAGTAGTGATGCGAGTCCTGTTAACCCAGCTCAGAAGTCTGGTAAACCATTTTTTATCATCCACCATCTTTTTTACTATCAGCGCTCCCGACCTGTGTCGACAAGCCTTCCAGGTTTTCCTCAGCTACAGCACCTTCCTCAATGGATCTTAAGATTCTTGTACCGTTTTTCTCTTGGGAAAATCCATATACCCTTCAAATTCACAGATCTGAGATCCCACGAAGAAAAATTCATGTTGGTCCCTAGCTGCCCCCTCTTCTCTCATTCGTGAAGGATTGTGTAGTATGTGTACCCCTTTTCTTTTTTTTTTCTTTTTTTTTTTCTTTTTTTTGTGATCCTGTGCTCTTTGGAAGAGCCTGAGTTAGAAAGATGTGTGCACCTGTGTTGGGAGAAGAGCTCGGAGTCCAATGAACGGATTGGCCAGGATGGTTTCGATTGGCGGTCTGTTTTTTTTTGAGATAGTCAGGTACAAAGAGACTAAAGAAGGATAACAGCAGTCCTTCCCCATGCCATTGGCCACTTTCACGTTGCAGTTACATGCACTCGACACGTTGGCAAAATTATTCCAGGGCAGCAGCTGAATGGTGGTCGATCTCTGCGGTTCGACAGAGTCACCCCGCATAAGACGTAAGTAGCACCCATACACCTCTGGCATATCTTCATTGATAAACGGAAATGGGTTTGTGTAATCACGTAGTTGCATGCGCACCTGTTCGTGACAGAGAAGAGCACACACACACACACACATCATAGACAAGAAAAAGTTTGTTAAATTAGCACATTTGTTTAAGTTCCAAGTTGTCAGAGTTGAGAGCTTGTAAGGCCTGGTAGAGAGATCTGGGGGGCTGTTTGCGGGGGCAGTCTCCGTGGTCATCGGGGGTCATAACTTGGGCAATGCTGGCCGGTGCTGGAGCAAGGTGGTGCAACTCTGTTACCTGGCCTGATGGGAGCATGAGGCCTGGAAGAGCTTCGGTTCGCGCTGACAACAGCAATGCTGGTGGTAGTCGTAGGTGGACTGAATAGGTTTCACCTATCTGATTCGTGGTTGGGAGGCTTTTTGACACACATATTCTAGTGACTTGGTAGAGTTTGAGTAGTGGACCCTGAATGTTTCTGAGTTCTTCCTTTTTCTTCACTTGTTCTTATCCAAAGCCGGGTAATGGCCCCGCTAGCTCATCTTTTGTATTCTGATAAGTGACGCTGGGCCCAATTCACAGCCGTGT